GGTGTTAATCGTCACCAGCTTAGTTGGTGACCCTAAAATCAATGTAAAAAAGTCATGTATCATTGTATTGGTTAGTTGGCAACCTTAAAATCTTTATAAAAAAGTCGTGGATATGTATTGGATCGAGTTGGGAGTCCATTTGGAGTGTTACTCCCTCATTGTCTCACCTCATATGTTTGGGATTACACTACTACAAAAAACTCTTTATGTAGCGGTTATGTTGTATGTATATATATGTGTATATGTAGACACACACACACATATAATATGTATATACATATTTTAGAATATGGTGGCTATTTACAAATAATTGTTATTTAATTTGTTCCAGTTTTGATTCTCATGAATCTTTTAGTAAATTGTATAATGTTTTTTTTAAAATAACCGTTATATAATTGCTAAATATATAATAGTTATTTCACATAAATTGTTATGTAGTTAGCCCATATTTTGGTCAATTTTTACAGGTAAATCAGCAAACTATATGGCATTTATTTCAAAATAATCTCTATATAGTTCCATCTATATAACAATCATATCGTATAACCACTATATAGTTGGAACTATATAGCATTTATTTTGAAATAACCTCTATATAGATCATTCTTCTTCTTCTTCTTCTTCTTTAACAATAGGGAGGTTGCATTTCTAGCAACCCCTGCAATTACAAAACAAACATTCCCAATAACAATAATCTAGCAACAGAATTTCAAAAGAAACCAAAATTCATATGTATTGAACAATATTTCAAAATTTAGATAAAAAACAATATTTCAAAATCTAACTTTATTTCAAATTGTCAAAAAATGCATCCTATACAGTTACTATATGTTAACCAAAAACCAAAATTAAGTTGCCCAAAGTTAACCATGAAACAAAATTGGCCGAAGTAACTATGTTTGGTTGCCTAGTATAAAGAACCTATAAAATAATCCTATTGAGCAAGCTAAGCAGTGATCAATCATAATCTTTCTTATTATTTACCCGTTGCTTGAATATATACTAGGCCAACTCTTCAGGAACTACTTCAATATGAGTTGCAATATATGTACATATGCATCCTCGTACTTCTGTTAAGCCAAATATAACAACATAAGTCAAGCTTCAATATGTGATGTGTGTATTATAATATAAATTATTAAAATTAATAAGAGTTAAAGACCATTTTCCCCCTTAAATGTTTTCCTAAGGAGCATTGAAGAGTGGGTTAATGTCCCTCTTAAATTTTTTTTTTCATAAGTGAAATTGTCCCTCCATTAGAGACCCATCATCTTCTCCATTTTTTGCTGATGTAAAATAGTTATGTAGTCCACACATAGTAACAACAAGGCATTTTGACCCACTTTGACCATTTGACATGAGCTAAAAGGGTTGGAAGTGTAGTGGCGATGGCAAGAACCAAGCCTTATTTTAGTAGCAAAATGGGTCATAATGCCTTACTTTTACATGGTGTAGGCCCCACAACTATTTCACGTTAGTAGATAACAGAAAAGATGATGAGTCTCTAACGAAAGGGCAATTTTGCTCTTGAAAAAATTATTTAGAAGGGATATTGTCCCACATTTTAGTTCAAGGTGCCCAGTACTCTTTAGAAAAAAGCTTAGAGGGAAAAATAGAATTTAACCCAATTAATAAAGTAGAGATAGAAGGCATACTTGGTCAGGCATAGTCCCATTATCCAACACATGTTTGATTATGTCTTTCATGTACCTTATGATGCTATAGCCACAATCTCTAGCCTTATCACATTGTTTTGGCCTCTTGTAATCAAACCCAAAAAAAGTAGTTATAATATAATAAACTAAATCTGATGAAATAAATTAAAGGTAAATTTATACCTTTATTGTCATCCATGTAAATGCCTTTTCATAATTACTGGTAAGAATGTGGTTGCAAGTAGATTTTTCGCATTTCGGTACATGTAAACAACCCTAAATGATAGTAAGAAACTTTAAGATCACATAGCAATAATAATTTACACATACATGTGCGAATATTATTTAACTTATTGAACATCACTATGATATGTTTCCATTTACCTCTAGAGGATCAAGTTACCACATCTTGCCTCTATATGGACTAAGCATGAGTAGTGTCCAATGGCCCCTATCGCAACGAGCACATATTAGCATGTGTTATACAAAACAAAAATTAATTAAAAAATTCAAATACTAGTACAAACTGATTCACCTATCACAAAATGATGCTAAGAAAAATTGATTTTTCTCGGGGACATGTTGGCATAAGTAATCAGAGATGTCCTATGATTTTCTTTCCCACTGTATGTCGCTCATTACTCCCTTCCATGGGGGAGGTAAAGTGGGGATTTGTTAAAACCACCCTATCTAAGAGGCCCTTGGATGCTATCAACGATAAGCAAACGAAAATGCCAAGACTGAACATACTAACCATGATAGCGTATTCAACTAACACAACCTTGTCAGTCTTATATTCTGTTTGGATGGAGAGAAAATAAGAGAGAAAAGGAAACATGGAAAGAAAATATGAGGGAAAATAACTTTTTCCCTGTTTGGATGAGGGAAAAAAATGAAGGAAAGAAAATGGGAGAAAATTTGAGAAAATTTGGAGTAAAATTTTGTTCTCCATCTACCTTCCACTCTCCCCTTTTCTATTTTTGTGCTTCAATAGCTCACCTCATCATTTTCGTTTGTAGTTCAATTCAACCTAGACTACCGTGTTGATTTTTTGCGAGTATGCTAATTGATTTTTCAGTGGTCTGCCATCTTTTTTGACTTTTTTCATTCGCAATTCCTTGCTTGGTGCATCTCTAAACTAGAGATTTTTTTTTTTTATTGATAATCCTGGATAATCTAGTATTTTTATGGAAGAATGACAAATAAATCCCTCTAAAATAGGGAAATGATAATTTTGTTTCGAGAAATGTAATAATGATAGTGAGGTTTTAACAGATTTATTTAAGATTAAATTTCTATGTGAAATTACTTTAGTACCCCTCTATAATTTAGAAAGTTGTGATTTCCTAAATTATTTTAGTCATTAGTGGAACTAAACTTGCGAATACTTATACCAAACTTGTAATGGGTACAAAAGTAATTTCACATAAAAATTTAATCTCAAAGAAATCCCTTAAAACCTCACTGTCATTATTACATTTTGCGAAACCAAATTATCATTTTTCTATTTCAGAGGGATTTATCTATCATTCTCTCATTTTTATTAATAATGTTGGATAGTGTATAATATATATGTATATATATTTTACTATATTTACTATTTTAAAAATACCCAAATTTTGATTTTTTTAAATAAAAATAAGATATTTTACAAAAGTATTTGTTTTTAAAATATAATTACATGGAAATAATTTTCAACAATTAATTTAATTTTAATTTAATTTCTATGAATGATAATATTCTTTCTTCAGCTTTCTCTTTTCTCTATTTTCTCTTCTTTTGTTTTCTTTCTTCTCAACCTTTCTTCCCATCCAAATGAGGTTAGGGGAAAATATTAAAAATAGAAGGAAGGTCCAAAACCATAAGAATCCAAGAAGTGCTTGTAAATAGAATAATATATAATTCAAAAGTTAAATTATGCTCTGTTTATCAAATTGACGTCGAGAACAAATGCTGCCATGTTCCCATGCAAAGTGAACTACATAACACATATTGTCAACTCATACATTTAACAAACCAGAGTCCTGTTTAAATCTGAAAGAAGCAATCCTATCATGTTCACTATCACTGGAAGCAGGCTGGTGCAATGGTCGCATCGCGCAGTCAGTCTTGAACAAGCTCGTGCAAGGAACACTCACCTGCTATAATACTTATCAGCAAAAACAACATAACAAAGAAAACAAGGCACTGTATTTGGTAATTAGTGTATATGTACAGGGAAGAAGGAATCATCAAAAGAGGGGTAATAAGAAAAACCAATAATGGGTATATATATATATATATATAAGCCTCTATGCACGACGTGTAAATACAGGACTTTCTATGGATTTTGCAACGAATATTGGTGTATTGACATTGACAATAGATGTCGATTGAAATTTTAAAGATTTTATACATAAGTGTAATATTAATCTTGATGTATTGATACTGTATTGACAATATAGATGTTTTAGCCATATTTACCATCCTTTGGTGAATTCATAGAATTGAAATTGGTTGTAAGCCATCCATTATTGAGTTTGGATTTGGTTTGAAATTTTGCATTTCTTAGGGTTCTATTTGTAAAACAGAGAGACAATTTTTTAAATCATATTTATAAGTTATATCATTGTTTTTTTATGAAAATTTTTCCTTTTATCTCTCATTAAATGCTAGTGAGAGAAAATACTTCATTAAAATATCTGTATTTAATATTGGCAAAATTATAAACTTATTAAATTTTTAAATAGAATTAATGAGATCCAAAACAGTCGATCAATTTTTGACCCATTTTTTAATATATATATATATATATATATGTAAATATTATTTTTTATTTAATTATTATGTCATTGGTTCAACCACTAGCCTAACTAGTTAAACTATGAGACCCGTGACCCACTAAACTTTTCAATTTATTATCCAATCTAATTTTTAAAATATTGACTCACACTTTCCGACCAGAACACCCAACAATAAAGAAATGTGAAAAGACAGGATTTTCCCTTCAAAACAAAGACTAAATAACAGTTTTAGGGACTTCAAAAAAAACGACATTAACAACTCCAATTTTTTAATATACATAACCTTTCGCGAACAATTAGAGGAGGCAATTTTTGATTTTGTGTTGAAGCTAGTCTACGTACTTGAATGATTAAGTTACTTTTTGGCCAAAAAAGAAAAAGTTATTTGCACCTATCTTGCCCTACGTTTTCCGTTTGACCTTGAACATATGTGGCATGAAAGATCAGCCAATCATCGAACGGAACATAATTATCAATTATTACAAACTAAAGTCGTTCAACACGGAAACAATAAGACCGAAACATTTCCAATCTGAACCAATCCAGACTTTCTGACCAGACACTCAATAATAAAGAAATGTGAAAAGACAGGATGTGGGCACAACTACCCACCAACTTTGTGTTATATATTGAATTGTATTATGAGCTGTGAAATACGAATCCAACCTAATAACAAATAATGGCTTCCAAGAGGCACTCTACTCTTGTTTTGGTGGTTCTCTTATTTCTTTCTGTGTTGCTTCTTGCCGCTGAAGCATCATTGCCCAGAAAACTTGGTGCTGCTTCGGATCCCCATAGGTGTAAGTGATGCTTTCTTTCATCTTTCTGGCCTTCATTTATACAAATACACTTGTAAACTCGCTGGTATCATATACTGTATAGGGATATATGTAATTTCAATTTCTAAGTTTGCCTCATTTGTTGATTTGGTTCTTCAAGTTTAATTTTTATCAATTGGGGCCTTTAAATTTTAAAATATAAATTAACTCTCAAAATAATTTAACGTACGTGAAAAATATATTAATGACTTGATATATATATATGTATGTATGTATGTATGTATGTAGCTAAATGAGAATAAATTAACCCTTAAATCAGTTTAATTTTTGTCAATATAATCCTTTAGATTGTGTTCTGTCTCTTGTTTTTTAATTTTTCATAGTCTGTGGTTTTTCTATCTAAAAAATTACACTTCTTTTTATTAATCTACATAGTTATCATCAATATTCTATTATATATCTATGTTAATAAATTTTAACAGTATTACCTCCTTTAATTTTAAACAATAATGACCAAATCAATAATCGAAGTAAACTTTAAGGATTAAATTGATAAAAATTAAACTTGAAAGACTAAATCAATAGTTGAGACCAACTTGATAAACTAAAATTTGTATTATCCTGAGTAGGTTTTTTTTGTTATTTTTTCTTATTTTTTAAATAAATGGTATTTTGGTAAATGCATTCCAAAGTTTTCTTACAATTAAAATCTATGGGATTTTAGAGTTATTTTTAAGATTCGTGAGACTTTGGTAATTAGAATTTTTGTATGGGACCTCTCTGATTTTTTTCTATATTTATTTTTTTGGGAAATTTTGTAAATTATTACTCATTTTGTAAATTCCTCTCTTTAATTTGTAGCATCTCAAAAGGGGAGGACATTCGTTTCCCAAGGAATTACTGGCAAGAGTTGTGATTGTGCACGTGGCCACAATTTTTGTTGCTAGTTGCATCTCTTGGATGGCTTTCTAAAGCTACATCATCTTTGTCTCTTTTGTTGCTTGTTGATTTGTTAGCCAATAGTAATAATTCTGTTGTATCTGGTAATTGTTCTCAAATTAAAGGAATAAAAAAAGAATTGGTTGATGTTGCCTTCTTTGTTTGGACTGTAGTTTGGTTTATTTTTCTGGATTGTTTTTTTCTTTTTCTTTTTTTTTTTGTGACCTATGTGTTACGTTGTATCTATATTTGTCAGTGTATTAGTTTCGGCTACTGGTGTTTGTGATTTGTTTTTGGGTTATTAATAAAATTGGTTTTTTCTGGGAAAAAATTGTATACTTGTTTGTAATTAGAAATCCAATAAATTCCCTCTCAAACAGTTATTTTGTCATTTTGTAATATTATTATGGAAATAACTGAGAATTAATAGTTATTTTTTAAATCTGTCCGGCGATAAATCCATCTAGCTATGACAACTTAGCCAGTCAACGGACAAGTAAAAATAATTTAAAAATTAAAATAAATGTACTTGAAAAACATTTAAGCACACTACGGTATCTAAAAATTTTGTCATTAGCTGTCATTATATATGAAAAATATAATGTTAACGATTATAATTTGATTTTCTGTACAAACTGAAGTCACATAACAAGGAAACAAAAATCACGACAAGTTTTCTCATCAATATTATAGTTTTGGGAAATTAGAATAAGTCAATGAATTATATATGACGTTTACCTACACTACTTCTCATTAAAAATATTACACAAATAAGCAAATAAAACATTGACTTTCTAAACTCCTAGAGGTTAATTTATCAATTCACATAGCAATATTAAATTCAATTTCTTTTTAAATTAGTTGCCATTGTGATACAAAACATTCTCACATAAGATTCAAACCGAGCTTTCTAGGAGCTTACATTTCTTTGTCAGTATATCCAAGGACTCGAACTTGACACCGCAGGATAAGCCAGTTTGACTCTCAAACCAAAGCACCCCTTAGTTGTGTTCTATTTTAATATAATATAATTATGTATTGATTGTACAATTATTCTTATTTTAAAGGATTAGTAAAAATTTTGAATTTTATTAAAATTATATTAACATTCTCTTTATTTTGTAATCATACAAACTTCTCCTTCAATAAATATTTAAAGACCCAAACTCCTAGTTTTTCCTTTTTCTTAAACTACACCTATCCTTTTTTTTTTTTTGCTATTTTTTAACTATGCACAAAATTTTCCAAAAAAAAAAAGAAAAGAAAACGTATGAATTGTATAAAAAAAAACAGCAACATAGTTATTTACATACATTAAGAAGTTTGGGAATTGGAAAGTTTCACTGTGAAGTTTTATTTTTTTTTTTGGGTAAAATTTCACTGTGAAGTTTTAAATATTATGAATGTTATATGTGCATAACACAAAGCTTAGAAGGTTCTATGTTCATTAAGTCTTTTTGTTTCATTTTAAAGAATGGTTATGTAATTTTTTTTTTGAAAAAAAAATCAAGACCAGTTTGAGTGATTCAATCTATAATTAATCTATTAATCTAACAACAATGATGATGAAGACTTCAACAACAACATTAATAATAACCGAGACTAAAAACTAGATTGATCTTTGAACTTATCAAAGTATTAGTTTAACGATTAATGGTCAAAACTGTAATTATTGAATCGTGATCTAATTGGCCATAAACAAAATATTTTATTAAACTGATTAAGTTATTAGTTTAATTATTTACTGGTTCAACCAAGCAGATTGACCTAAATTTTCATACTCTAGTAATGACTGCTTGAGCAAGCGAAGTCTTTAAATTAAGAAAACTAATAAATAAAGTTACATCACCTATTTGAATTATTGAACATGAAGAATTGAATCAGTTTACACTTTCTGACTAAAATAGGACCTGCTAAAGAAAAATAAAAATTCTTGAATGGCCAAAACCACCCACGCATTTCTTGTGATAAATTAATGTCTTATGGTTACAGTAGTGATCTATGCATCAAACCTAATTAATGATGACTTTCAAAAAGCGTTCTCCTGTTTTGGTGATTCTCTTTATTTCTATATTGGTTCTTTCTGCCTAAGCAACCGCAAGGAAACTTGGTGGTGCTTTGATTAATCTTCATATATGTGATTGTTTTTTGTTGAATCAAGGGAAAACATAACTATTGATCTTTATAGTTTTATTATATTTTGTTATTAATCCCTATACTTTTTTTAATGCTCTAGGTTCCTATAGCTTTTTTTTCATTTGCAACATTAACCTCTCTATTGTTAAATATGCCAAGAGGGATGATGATATGGTACTACCGATGTTAAATTAGGGTATTTGATGCATGAGGTAAAAGGCTTGACTCGCAATCATTGGAATTACTTTCTAACATTGACAAGTACTGTCAATAAAATGTTAACTTATTGTATTCTAAATATGTTACTATCCTCACTAGTCTTTTATTGAAACATTAGTCATTAATAAATGCAATAAAATGTTGACTTTGTGGAAATGCGATAAACATTAGTTCTTATTTTATAAATGTTGACTTTGTGGAACTTGCTGTTTCAACAAACCTTGAGTCCTTTCAGGATGTTCAAAAGTTTTATTATTATTATTATTATTATTAGAGTTCCCAAAGTGCATTCATGCACTACCCTTTTTAATTAGACAGTAGAGAATATAGGCTAACACTATGAAGGTTCTGTTCAAGAATACTATCATCGATGACGAAGGCCACCATGGCATGTTCGAGAATGAGCGACATTGTGTATCCATCAAAAGCCCGATCGTCTTATTCCAGCAAGGAGAGAGAGAAGTGTTAGATATGGCAATACACCCAAAAGGGGGTGAATCAGGTGTTTATGGAATTTTTGATTCTTTTGAAACCTTTTCAGCAAAACTGTGTTTAAAGATAAGTTTAGGAAAATTTGAGTTCTAAACTTTTTGAGTAAGAATGTTTAGAAAAAATCTCTAAGTGCAAGTTTGAATAAATGCATATAAAAATATCAAAGTTTATTTTGGACAAAAGGTTGCTGGAAATATAAAGAGTTAAGGGAAGAGAGATTGCAAATAATGATTTATCTTGGTTTATCTCCACCACTTGAGCTTAGGTCCAGTTCCCAAGCAACTACTTGAGATTTCTTCAAAATAACACAAGCTTAAGTGGATTCTTGCAACCAAAGTACAACTACAAGTTTAGTTTAGGTACTTGTGAGCTTTTATAGCAACTCACTTTACTAGTGAGCTCTTTTCTCAAGAGAACAACCTCTCTTGATTACAAGAAAAATCTCTCCCTCACCTTTACAATGATTTAAAATATGTAAATCACTCAATTGAAACTTTTTTTAATAGCAATGATAAGTACAATGAAGTTCTAATACTCAAATGATGAAGATATAGATGATATTGGCTCAAGTATGATAACTTTTGTATAATAAGAGTATAAAGAATACAAATCTCATAACTCAATGATTTCTTGTTTTAATCCCATGGTTAAGATAAGTTTGGAGTATTATATATATAGCCCATGAAGTGAAATTAGTGTTAGAGACATAATATGACCATTTATAGTCATTGCATAGTGATTATAGCCATTGGTAACATTTCTCGTGTCGAGCAAAAGTCATTCACGCATGAAATGGACATTTCACAAGCCAATGACAAATCTCACTTGGAATGTGACAAATCACACTTGAAATATCATGCGATGTTGCATAAGTAACAAGTCACGCATGGATAGAAAGTAATTCATGCTTAATTTAGACCATAGAAGCTACTAACTCAAAATAAGGCTTTTGGGTAACATTTCACGTGTATATAGGAAGTGATTCACCCATGATTTGGACTATAGAAACTATTCAGTGACAAAAAAAAGCTTTTAGGTGACGTTTCAAGTGTGTATGGGAAGTGATTCATGCGTGGTTTGGACACTGAAGCTTTTTCAAAACAATTCACATGTGTGTGCAAGTTTAAATCACGTGTGTTTTGGAGGGTGCCACCATACATAATTTCATAAGGCTCTTACTCACTCAGTACAACTCCAAACCTAATAAATTATATATTGTTGGAAAACTCTTGAAGTCTAGTTTTCAATAAAATAATTTTCACACTAAGATTTAATGTAAATTTTAGGATATGATCAAAAGAGAAAATGAAGATCAACTCTAAATGCTGTGCAGAATCAATATCTCAACACTTAAATTCTAAAATTCATATCTTTCGTAATAGAACTCCATTTTGAGTTAATAAACTATCATTGAAAATATGTTGAAGTCTATTTTCAAATGAAATATATTTCACATTAAAATGATCTGTGTAGTGAAAGATATGATAAGTAATATGACTAAAGGTCAAATATGCTTTTATGCACAATTACCATTTCAAAGCTTAGATTTTAAGTGTTTATGACTTTTTCAATTTAACTCCATTTTGAGTAAATAGAACAACTTTGAAAAATTTATAAATTTATTAATCAAAAAATTTAAAACCTTGTGAGATATATGTAATAAAAGATGAAAAACATGATTATAGAAAATTATATCTCACCTTTTCTCTTAAGAGTTAAAATGCATCTTTTGATTTAAAATATCTTGAGCCAATATTTTATATCTAAATCAATGAGTTTGACATAAAGGCTTCTAGCCTAATAATATTATACCTATCAAGTCCAAGGGTTCCAAGATACATCCAAGCTTGTATGAATGTCTTCATTCTTCTTAAACTCTTCTTAGATTATCGTTCTCTTTATCTTTATGTTCTTCAATCATGAATGTAGCATGCAAATGATGACTTCAACTTTCTTCCTTTTCATACTTACTTTCATATTCACTTTGGACAACTTTAAATGATATATTATGAACAAAATGGTTAGTCCAAGTATCAATATGCATATATCTAAGTTATGAAAGATGATACTATAAACTCTCTTGGATATATAATTAATTTAAGATAAGAAAAAATATGATAGTATAAATAACTTTGATACATACATATTATTTTTCCAAATCTCATGTAATACAGAACAATATAAGTAAAAACACTTTAAAGTACTTATTCCATAATCATAGTTATATATGTATGAAAAAAATTAGGCATACATGTAGTACACTTATCTATATTTGTCATCATCAAAACTTAAACTAAACATAATATTATAAGTCATTATATCCAACAAGTGAGTGGTGGGGGGAGAGAGAGTGATGT